TCTGCACATATGGAGCACATGGAGCACACGTGTGGTCGCGCTCCTCCGACCATCTGCACATATGGAGCACATGGAGCACACGTGTGGTCGCGCTCCTCCGACCATCTGCACATATGGAGCACATGGAGCTTACATGTGGTCACGCTCCTCTGACCACCTGCCCATATGGAGCACATGGAAATTCGCCCCTTCTTATCTAGAGAGCGACTGGATTTTTCTCTACGTTTCTCTGTTTATTGTGCGAATTTATCAATAATTGCAAGTTTGTTTCTTCAACACGATTAAATTCAATGAAGCAAGCCTAGTGTTAAATTATTGAACCTCTGTCTTCACGTGGAGCCCAACATTGTAGGAGGTTGAGAACTTTACTGAATCATTTTAAGCGAGACGCGCCTGAGAACATACTCTACAGTGAACCACATGAACCACACACATGGCAGTGAACCACATCCCGGATTGNTCACCGCCATCCCTGACAAGTGAGTCACCGCCATCCCCGACAAGTGAGTCACCGCCATCCCTGACAAGTGAGTCACCGCCATCCCTTCTTTCCGTCTCGCTGGTCTTATATGAAGTGACTATCGTAAAAATATCTATTTTTCAACTCCAGAATTTGTAATTGAATAAAATTCACACAATTATCAACTTCATGATACTCTGTGTTTATTAATTAACCTGTATTAGTAAACCTGTATTAATTAACTTATATTAATAAACCTGTATTAATTAACCTCTATTAATTAACCCGTATATTCCACAGACTGGACGTGACCCACGAGACGGTAGCAGAGTTCCTGGAGGGGCTGACGCTGGACGAGGCGCTGGCGCAGAAGAAGATCTTCATTTGCGACCTCGCGGTGCTCGAGAACCTGCCCTGCAAGGACGGCAGAATTGTCAGTAACGTTCTAGTACGAACTAAAATATATGATTAAATTCGCTTTAAATATGTATTTCGACTAACGTAACTCCAGCGATTACGAACAAAAATATATGATATAAGTCTCTTTAAATGTTCATTTCGACTAACGTAACTCGAGCGATTGCGAACAAAAATATATGATAAAAGTCTCTTTAATTTAATGGAAGTTTGTCAATTTTTAATGTCAATGTCATTGTCATTTAATGTCATTGTCAATTTAATGTCGATCTTTAATTTAATAGAAGTTTGTCAATTTCTTTAATAGAAGTCTCTTTAAATACGCATTTCGACTAACGTAACTCGGGCGATTACGAACTAAAATATGTGTTAGAAGTCTCTTTAAATGAAATGTGCATTTCCTACGAACGTAACTCCAGTTCCCATGAACTAAAATTTGGCTCTTTATAAAACCAATAATTGATGGATATACGTAGCATATGCACGTCAGTATATATGGATTTGATATTCGGATATGAGTAGTGAGTATATGGTATATGTGAATGTGCGTATAGATTGATGTGATTTGTGCGTACGAGTATCTAAGTATATGATATATGCATATGAAACATATGGATATCATAATAACATGTCTGTTTCATGTCTAACAGCTTCCCTACGTGTTAAGATCATGTCTGTTTCATGTCTAACAGCTGCCCTACGTGTTAAGATCATGTCTGTTTCATGTCTTACAGCTGCCTTACATGTTAAGATCATGTCTGTTTCATGCTCAACAGCTGCCTTACCTGTTAAGATCATGTCTGTTTCACGTCTAACAGCTGCCTTACGTGTTAAGATCATGTCTGTTTCATGTCTAACAGCTGCCTTACGTGTTAAGATCATGTCTGTTTCATGTCTAACAGCTGCCTTACATTTTTCTAGTTTCATTATAGTTTGAATTTTATTCTGCAAAAAGAGGGGGGTGGCGGGGGGAAAATCGAAAAATTACCGAACATTTTGGAAAAATGCCCCCCACTTCCACAAAAATTGGAATTACAAAAAAAGGGAATTAACATTTTGTAAATGAAGACCTCACGCATCGAATGATATGTGTCTCGATGTTGTAGCTTGAAAATCCTAGGACTAGATCCATTTCTACAGTACCTCCTTTTATAGCCGTTTTCTAAGAATTTCACGTTTTCTTTCATTTTTTTCGAAAATTTCACACGAACAAAATGTGAGTTTTTTTCCATTTTACATATGTGTACCAAGTTTCAGAGTGATCCGACTGTAAATTGCCGAGATAATTTTTAGGGTAGACGCTCCCCTTAAAATCATGTCTGTTTCATGTCTAACAGCTGCCTTACATGTTAAGATCATGTCTAACAGCTGCCTTACATGTTAAGATCATGTCTGTTTCATGTCTAACAGCTGCCTTACATGATAAGATCATGTCTGTTTCATGTCTAACAGCTGCCTTACATGTTAAGATCATGTCTGTTTCATGTCTAACAGCTGGCTGCGCCTGTTGCTCTGTTCTACGTAGACAAGTCCAAGCATCTTGTGCCCATCGCTATTCAGCTCATGCAGAACAAGGGCCCCAACAATCCGGTGAGTCGGGCTGACTCACTTAGAACTTAATCTCTCTGAATGTTATTCTAGAAATAAAGTGCAAACAATCAACTGCAAGACTCGAGATAGTTGTAGAAAGATTTTCTGTCCTTTTAACTAATAATTTTCCACGTTTTTCTAGAAACAATTCTTCAGAAATTCCAGAAATTTGAGTAAAACTGAAATCTTTGATTTCAGTTTTCGGCAATGTTTCTGTGAACCTATAGACTTATTTATTCTCTATCTGGTAACACTCGCAATCTCCAGTAAAATCTAACAACTCTTAATCATCACAAGCAATCCTTGATGCGATCTTTCTATCTGTTACAATCATGGCAATCAAAATAAAACATTCGAGCGTTGAATAAAAATCGTTGATATTTTACACATCCTAACTTTCTGGTTCAACTACAGGACATAATTTCCTCTCTCTAAAACATAAATGAGATTTTTTCTAACTACTTCTACGACGTGCAGAAAGTGTGTGACTACTTTTACGACGTGCAGAAAGTGTGTTACTACCTACTTTTACGACAATATGACCGCTGTATTTGTGTGAGTGCAGGTCTACACCCCCGCCGACCCCCCCAACACGTGGCTGCTGGCGAAGATGTTCTACAACAACGCTGAGGCTCAACATCATCAGGGCTTCACCCACCTCGGCCGCACCCACATCCTCATGGAGGGGATGTGTGTGTGCACACATCGGAACCTCTCCCCCTCACATCCCCTCTTCAAGCTCCTCGCCCCTCACTTCCTCTTCCTCCTCGCCATCAACTCGTGAGGCCTCTTGCAACTTGATACTCATCAAAATCAGTGGCTTATTCTCTAAATAATGACTCGCCATTAACTCGTGAGACCTCTTGCAACTTGTCACTCACTAAAATCAATGGCTCATTCTCCAAAAAATGACTCGCTTTTTTAACACTAGCAGAGAACCGACGTAGCACTGATACGCTCTTTTGCCCCACCAAACTGGGTCAGGTTGGCTTTTGCAAGGACAAAAAGTGCATTAATATTTGGACGAAGTCTCACTCATAACTCTGAGTGTGACTGTGCATTGCCGCGTCGGTAAATTATTTGTTCACACTAATGGATAACGGCGACGTCAGGATGGAAATTTGTTTAAAATAATTTTTTTAGTTGCATTTGGCCAGAAGTGAAAAGAAATTTATGAGTTTTTAGACGCCATTGAGAATTTGTTCATGTGTGTATGGAGGGCTGAGAAAAAGCTGGACGGAAACGAGGATAAGCTTCTTTTTATTTCATATTAAATTAAAATATTAGTATTTCTTTATAATAACATCAGCTACCGAGTACACATCCTGCAGCATTACCGTGCCCTGTTACCTTCCATGTTTCATTACGTCACCAAGGTCCTCCAGCATCACTACGGTAGCTAACATCATTCACCGACGTACTACCATTCTCTGTTTTGCCTTTCATGTTCGAGTTGGAAGAGAAGTTTTGAAGATTTGAGAAGTTTGATTTTCTATCTAGAATCTTTCGAAATACACAGTGTATATTTCGAAAGATTCTAGATAGAAAAATCCGTTCACTTGCTTCTACGGCGCTGAAATCTTTGAGTTCCAAGGTGGATTCAGATAATCGTCATTCATTTCATTTTGGAACTCAGGGGCCTGCAAAAGAAAGTGTGAAATACGTTATTATTGAAATCTTTCACAGTGACTAAAATAATTCCCTTTATCTCTTCCTCCCAAGGCTCAGACATTCAAATCTAAGCTATGGTTCAATTTTCTTTTTGAATCACTCAACCGCTAATATTTTAATATTCAGGACCAAAATTACAAAAGCTCGATACTTCACTTTAGTAGTCCGCTATAACACGCGCTGTCTAGGCCATAATTTTGTTATCTTGTACAGTGGGGGGAAATAAATATTCGTACACTTGAAAAATCGTATTTTAATGTATGTAAGTACACAAACTTAACAGGAAAAGTGATTTAAATTAAAAAGCTGGACGGAAACGAGGATAAGCTTCTTTTTATTTCATATTAAATTAAAATATTAGTATTTCTTTATAATAACATCAGCTACCGAGTACACTTTTAAACCAAAGTTCATAACTGATAGTTACGATCACAATTCGATCTGTGCTTCAGTCGCGGGTTAGAGAAGCGGGTGTCTATTGGGGGCTGGATGGAAAAACCTTTTTTAGTTTTTAGTTTTAAAATCAATTAAATATTCGTATTTGTTCTTGATAACTTTTTTCGCTCATGTTCATAACTGATAATTACGACCACAAGTATGAGGTTGCCTTCTTTTGTGCCTCAGTCGCGGGCTGGAGAAGCTGGTGTCCATCGGGGGCTGGGTGGACTGCTGCATGACGCAGGGAGTGTCGGGAATCTTCTCCCTCATCGCTAAGAGCGTCAGCTCCTGGCGGGCAGACGTCCAGGGCATCCCCACGGAGGAGATGAAGGCGAGGGGCGTCCTGGACCGCGAGGTCCTGCCCTTCTACCCCTACAGGGACGACGCAGTGCCGCTGTACGCCGCCATCGAGAGATACGTCACCAAGGTCCTCCAACATCACTACGGTAATTCCTGCAGCATTACCGTGCCCTGTATTACCTTCCATGTTTCATTACGTCACCAAGGTCCAGTTCACTACGGTAGCTAACATCCCTCTCCAACGTACTACCATTCTCTGTTTTGCATTTCACTTTCGAGTTAGAATAAAAGTTGTGCACAGTGTATGCTTCGAAAGATTCTAGACAGAAAACCCGTTCACTTGGTTCCACGGCGCTGCAATCTTTGAGTTGTAATCTGAATTCAGATAATCGTTTTTGGTCATTTTTTAACTCACGGACCTGCAAAAAAGTGCGTAATACGTAATTATTGAGGTATCTCTAACAGTGAACCGAAAATGATCATCTTAATCTCTTCCTTCCAAGGCTCGGACCTTCAAACCTAAGCTATGGTTCAATTCACCTGTTGACCCAACCGCTAGTTGATATTTTAATACTCGCTACCAAAATTACAAAAACTCGATACTTCACTTCAGTAGTCCGCTATAATACGCGCTGTTTAGGCCATGATTTTGTTATCTTGTAAAGGATTTTATAAAAGGAAGCGACTGTATGCGGTACATTTTATTTCAATTATCTCCATTGACAAAACAGCTGCTATTGTTGCATGGTTTGAATGATCAGCTGACAGCTGGCGTTCAATATTTGTAGATATTGCATGCCTGGATTAACAGTCTTCAATGCTATTCGTACCTGAAATATTATGCAGGATTATTATTTATACAGCGAATGAAGTGTTAACGGGTTTTGGTTTGACAGACTCGCCGTCTAAAGTGCTGGGGGACGTGGAGCTGCAGCAGTGGCGGAAGGAGATGGTGACGCCCGTAGCAGAGGGCGGGGTGGGCATCAAGGGCATCCTCGGGGACAATAAAGGTAACGCGTTAGAAGTTGCCAGAAGATAATATTGTGAATATTGAGAACTTTCCATCTAATTTGTGAGTGTTCATGAACGTGAATGATTTTTCTATTCACAATCTATCTAGGACTTCACATGTGTGCAAATTTCAGAGCTTAATAAGCACTGCTCAAATTATCTGATTGCATCATCTCCGTTTTCGCATCTTTCAATGAATTACCAATTGAAGTTTTCATTTTGGAGCCGTTATCTGTTTTTCTCCCGTCTCGCTGAGTTGCCAAATTGCAGCTGTCACATGGAGATATCACCAATATATTGGTTTTCATGGCAGATGCTATATAGCTTGACGTGTAGCGTATAGCTTGACGTGTTACATATATCTTGACGTGTAGCGTATAGCTTGACGTGTTGCGTATAGCTTGACGTGCTGCGTATAGCTTGATGTGTAGCGTATAGCTTGACGTAGCGTACAGATTGACGTGTTGTGTATAGCTTGACGTGTAGCGTATATCTTGACGTGTAGCGTATAGCTTAACATGTAGCGTATATCTTGACGTGTAGCGTATAGCTTAACATGTAGCGTATATCTTGAAGTGTAGCGTATATCTTGACGTGTAGCGTATGGCTTGATGTGCAGCGTATAGCTTGACGTGTAGCGTATATCTTGACGTGTAGCGTATATCTTGACGTGTAGCGTATAGCTTAACATGTAGCGTATATCTTGAAGTGTAGCGTATATCTTGACGTGTAGCGTCACAAGTCTCCATGTTTCCCCTCAGTTGGGTTCAGCGACGTGTCGCAGTTAATTCAAATAGCGACGACGATCATAGCGACGTGTTCTCTGGGCCACGCGGCCGCTAACTTCCAGCAGTACGACCAATATGCCTTCGTCCCCAACTACCCCGGCATTCTCATGGCTCCTCCGCCTACACAAAAGGTAAAAAATCAAAGTAGACACAGATTAAAATTACTCGTCTTGAATTTGAACCAGCGGCTGATTATGACTGACCGGCATTCCATTAGAAATGATATTCTTTGATGAAGGTTGCTCTTCACATCCTGTATCTCCATATTTCGAACACGTTATTATTTACCGTCAATGACAAATAAGTCGCCACTCGTCAGATACTGCACTTACCTCGCCACTCGTCACTAAATACCGCATGTGTAATACTGGTCAGGTATAAAATTTGTAGGGTTCGATACTCACATGATGACTACAAAGATGTTTTCACCGCGCTAGATTTGATTCAGTTTTGTTTAAAAAATAAAGATCATTTCCAATGAAGGCCGGCGACTCAAGTGCTGTGGCGAGGTTATCAACATTGACAGTACCTTTGAAGTATAGTCAAATGTATTGGTCTTTCTGATTTGCATTGAGGATTTTAGTTCGGTTAGTGGCGAAGGAGCAAGAGGGTAAATTTTTTGAAGTAGGATACAAAGGATCATCTTAGGGAAGTCCAGCGAGTTGCAGGAATTCGGGAGCAGGAAGGCTGGATGAGATAACAAATTTTGTTACCGAAGGACGGTGAGTGGAAGTCGTAGGTGAGGGCCCAGGAAAGTTGCTTGTTGAGGAACCAATTTTGCAGATATTGATGGCGACAAGTGGGAACAATTCAAATCTTATAGAACTCTATTTTTAAACTAATTTAACAGATAATGATTAATAATAACAGAACCAAGAAAACGAGAGCACTAGCCTGTAGGATGCAACTAGATATGTGACCTGCTGTTACGTAGCACTGGCCTGCGCCGCGAGTAATTACCGCTTGGAATAAATAGCTTCGTTATCATTTCTTGAATGCATCTTTCATCAGCGAGTTATTCAAAACTTTTATGAGTAATTTCCTATTGCTTATAATTTTCTCTACCATGAGCAGAAAGATTACACAGACAGCGACCTGCTGAGCATCCTGCCCAACAAGTCCATGACTCTCGACATCGTCCTCATCACGAAGCTCCTGTCCAAGCGCGGCACAAACTCCCTCGGCGACTTCGAGATGCAGTACATGTACGACCCAGTCGGCGTGCACGCCGCTAAAGAGTGAGTCAAAACCGTCAAGAAGTGAGTCAATCACACATTCGAGATGCAGTACATGTACGACCCGCTCGGCGTGCACGCCGCTAAAGGGCGAGTCAAAACCGTCAAGGAGTGAGTCAATCACACATTCGAGGTGCAGTACATATACGATCGCGTTGGAGTACAGGCCGCTAAAAGCTGAGTCAAAGTCGTCAAGGAGCGAGTCAATCAGACACACATTTGAGTAAAGGTACTCTACAGTATTTGTATCTATTTTCATGATACCGCCAGTTGCAACTCTTTACAGAAGCAATAACCGCCGTGCATGCGTTTCCTGAGTTAAGCCAGACTGTTGTCACCCTAACACGAGCCAACTCGTTACAGGGCGAGGGTACGAGGGCTGGACCCAGCGCACGTGCCCAACTCCATCAGCGTGTGAGGGCGAGGGTACGAGGGCTGGCTCAGTCGAGCCAGAAATGATAGGCAAGGATAGGCATTGCTTGAAAAATAAACTTCTTCGAAATCAATTTTTTACTTTAAAATAAGTTATAGATTTAATCATTATTAATGTAACCATATCTCATCTTGTTGAATAAATATATATACACACTGTTACAATTAGTCAATGCTAATGTAATAAATTATTACATCACCACAGCGGAAGTCAATACAGCAATGACCTCGAAGAGTGAAATCTATTAACGTAAAATAAGCCCATTGAAAATAGGTTGAAGAGGCGACGTCAAAGCAAAAACTTACGTCAGGGTCTAGAAAAACCTTGACTGCAATTCCGACATTACGATTAAATTCAACAATAAGTTAACCTCGCCGGTCCCATTACATAATAGGTCGCCCAACCGCGACCTCCACACACAAAGCAGCAGGCCTGCATCAGGGTACGCACACAGTGAAAGCAGGTTTGCCCGCGCGGGCAACCTGCTCCAACCTGCCCCAAGAATGAACATAGGATAATAATGTAAGTGTTTACAGCGAAAACCTGTACGAATAGGCCAGCGCCAGGCCTATTTATTTCAATTTCAGGCGACATCCTAAGCAGGTAACCAGCACGCTGGCAACCTGCTTTCACTGTGTGGGCACCCTTAGAGTACAATGCAGCACAACGTTGCGGTTAATACATGTCCATTCAATCTTGATGAATTCCCGATAATCTTGTGTTAAATGACGCGTAAGTCATTGTGACGTCCTCAGACGCGAGAAATGATGTTTATTCACGTTTATTATTAAATCACGGGACGCGGAGAGTCGGAGACTAAGAACAGATATCCGGCTCCTGAACAGATATCTTACGATAACACAATCATACAGATAATATGCAATAACATTCGAGATAAAAGTTGCACAGCTAGCACATTAAAGCGCAACCACGACATCGAAGAAATTTCAACCACTCTCAATAAATAGTACATTTTGTAAAAAAAAATATTAGCACATAACAGAGAATGCCATACATTACCATCATCATGAAAACAGCAAGCTTTAGCTGGAAGTGATTCCATATGACTAGATAAGAAAGGAAATTATAGAAAAATACAAATAAATCATGAAGCAAAGGCTCTTCAGCTCTTAACAAAGACGAGCAAGAGAATAAGGACGAGGATGGCGGCCGTGAGCGACATGATGCAGATGAGATTGCGGTTCTTCTTCTGATGCTGGTGCGCCTTCTGCAGCTGCTGCCGCCCCTCGCGCACCTTGATACTCGCTGTCTCGATGTTGCAGTCAATGCGGTCCACCAGCGTACCCTGCACACGTGGAACAAGGTTACAGCGCACCAATGATACTCTTACGCAGACGGGCAGAAGGTACGAGATGTGCCTGCTCGTGTACGAGGTGTGCCACGTACCTGCTCGTGTACGAGGTGCGCCACGTACCTGCTCGTGTACGAGGTGTGCCACGTACCTGCTCGTGTACGAGGTGTGCCACGTACCTGCTCGTGTACGAGGTGTGCCACGTACCTGCTCGTGTACGAGGTGTGCCACGTACCTGCTCGTGTACGAGGTGTNCACATGAGGTCACGCTCCTCCGACCATCTGCACATATGGAGCACATGGGGCACACATGAGGTCACGCTCCTCCGACCATCTGCACATATGGAGCACATGGGGCACACATGAGGTCACGCTCCTCCGACCATCTGCACATATGGAGCACATGGGGCACACATGAGGTCACGCTCCTCCGACCATCTGCACATATGGAGCACATGGGGCACACATGAGGTCACGCTCCTCCGACCATCTGCACATATGGAGCACATGGGGCACACATGAGGTCACGCTCCTCCGACCATCTGCACATATGGAGCACATGGGGCACACATGAGGTCACGCTCCTCCGACCATCTGCACATATGGAGCACATGGGGCACACATGAGGTCACGCTCCTCCGACCATCTGCACATATGGAGCACATGGGGCACACATGAGGTCACGCTCCTCCGACCATCTGCACATATGGAGCACATGGGGCACACATGAGGTCACGCTCCTCCGACCATCTGCACATATGGAGCACATGGGGCACACATGAGGTCACGCTCCTCCGACCATCTGCACATATGGAGCACATGGGGCACACATGAGGTCACGCTCCTCCGACCATCTGCACATATGGAGCACATGGGGCACACATGAGGTCACGCTCCTCCGACCATCTGCACATATGGAGCACATGGGGCACACATGAGGTCACGCTCCTCCGACCATCTGCACATATGGAGCACATGGGGCACACATGAGGTCACGCTCCTCCGACCATCTGCACATATGGAGCACATGGGGCACACATGAGGTCACGCTCCTCCGACCATCTGCACATATGGAGCACATGGGGCACACATGAGGTCACGCTCCTCCGACCATCTGCACATATGGAGCACATGGAACACACATGTGGTCACGCTCCTCCGACCACCTGCACATATGGAGCATATGGAGCACACATGTGGTTACGGACCACCCACGTGCCTGTGGACCACACACGTGCCATGGACCACACACGTGCCTGTGGACCACACACGTGCCTGTGTACCACACACGTGCCTGTGGACCACACACGCTCCTATGGACCACACACGCTCCTATAGACCACACACGTGCCTATGGACCACACACGTGCCTATGAACCACACACGTGCCTATGGACCACACACGTGCCTGTGGACCACACACGTGCCTATGACTATGGACCACACACGTGCCTATGGACCACACACGTGCCTGTGGACCACACACGTGCCTATGGACCACACACGTGCCTGTGGACCACACACGTGCAATATAACGCGCGTTATCAGCGTTACTTCAACGTCACTTGCCTGGAGCTGCGGGAGACAGAGTGGGTTAGGTTCAAACACGAACTGAAAGATGTCAACAAACTAACTTATATTCTAGAGAGCGACTGTATTTTTCACCATGTTTCTATGTTTATTGTGCGAATTTAAGCAATAATTGCAACTTTGTTCCTTCAACACGAATAAATTCAATGACGCAAGCCTAGTGTTAAATTATTGAACCTCTGTCTTAACGTGGAGCCCAACATTGTAGGAGGTTGAGAACTTTACTGAACCATTCTAAGCGTGACGCGCCTGAGCCTAGGACATACTCTACAGTGAACCACATGAACCACACCCATGGCAGTGAACCACATGAAGCAGACACATGGCAGTGAACCACATGAACCACACACATGGCAGTGAACCACATGAACCACACACATGGCAGTGAACCACATGAACCACACACATGGCAGTGAACCACATGAACCACACACATGGCAGTGAACCACATGAACCACACACATGGCAGTGAACCACATGAACCACACACATGGCAGTGAACCACATGAACCACACACATGGCAGTGAACCACATGAACCACACACATGGCAGTGAACCACATGAACCACACACATGGCAGTGAACCACATGAACCACACACATGGCAGTGAACCACATGAACCACACACATGGCAGTGAACCACATGAACCACACACATGGCAGTGAACCACATGAACCACACACATGGCAGTGAACCACATGAACCACACACATGGCAGTGAACCACATGAACCACACACATGGCAGTGAACCACATGAACCACACACATGGCAGTGAACCACATGAACCACACACATGGCAGTGAACCACATGAACCACACACATGGCAGTGAACCACATGAACCACACACATGGCAGTGAACCACATGAACCACACACATGGCAGTGAACCACATGAACCACACACATGGCAGTGAACCACATGAACCACACACATGGCAGTGAACCACATGAACCACACACATGGCAGTGAACCACATGAACCACACACATGGCAGTGAACCACATGAACCACACACATGGCAGTGAACCACATGAACCACACACATGACAGTGAACCACATGAACCACCTATGGCAGCAGGCATACCCAGGGGAAGCGTCGCCCTGGTCCCCGAAGGCGTCCTGCGCAGGGTCTCCAGCAAAGGTGCTGGTCTGCCTCAGGCTCTGCACGGCTGAGTTACAAGCTATGAATTACAGTGGCAAGTTCAATACATGGAATATCATGAATAATTGTGAATTGTAATGGAATATCATGAATAATTCATGAATAAATATTCATGAATAATAATATCATGAAAATTATCATGAATTGAATGAACAATTGTTATCAATAATAATTGATTATTCATGAATACCATGAATAATCATGGAATAAATGGAATATCATGAATAATAATAACTGCGAGCACATATTCAAGCTACCACAGCATGGACATGAACATGAATTATATTGTTTCAATGGAATTATTAGTAAAATGTATCAATTGAAAACGCAAAAGAACTGAGTAAAACAAAGAAACTAACTTGTAATAGAGGTAATTTAAGCTAAAACATAGGTAACAGCAGAACTTCAAAAATAGTGGCTCATGGGTAGGGTTAATAACAGATAATAATTCGCTTCAAAAAGAATCTGTACACAAACTTATGTCACGGATAATTGAATAACAAACTAGTAGGTAGGCATTAGCTCTATCACAACTTTATGGTACATTTCATGATACTAACACAATATTCATTGGAAATAGAGCTTTTTAATTGAAAAACTTGGTCGAAACATCAATAATTATGATTGAGTAACAAATTTATTCCCATTACTCGTAAATTTTGGATAAATAACCTAGACAATATACATGAGCAGATTTCTTCAAAACCAGGAGAAATGCGAACATAGACTAAAATTTTTAATTTAATCCATCAGCCTTCACTTCTTACAAAACAAATACGATACTACTCAGTAACAATATTTTTCTCAATAGTTTAGTGTTCTTCCCAGCCAATAAAAACATGACAAGTTGACATAAAGGGCAAGTGTACACTGCTTACATTGCGAAACATGCCAAGTTGACATAAAGGGCAAGTGTACACTGCCTACATTGCGAAACATGCCAAGTTGACATAAAGGGCAAGTGTACACTGGTCTCTTATACACATCTAGATGTGTATAAGAGACAGAACCTGTAGTGTGTGCAACTTCTTAGTTTTTGCTTCAAGTGTAGTTGTGTTGTAGCGGATCTCCTCAGCAATGCTGGTCCAGTCGGGCAAGCGAGCTGAGCCAATGCTCCCTCTTTCTCGCATCAAGGCTTCTCTGTCCCCATAACCTTGCTGCAAAATAATTAGCAATGTTACAAATCACTTACAAAATTTAATTGAATACGTACCTATATATTGGATGGAACAAACTGGAATTTGTTTTATATAAAATTTGACAAGAATTAAAATAGTTTTTTTTTTGAGTGAGAACAGATCACATCCAAGAACATTTTGGAGCAAGTGCCAGAGATATTAGATAACTAAAAAAATGGACTGTGAAACTAATCAGAATAGTTTCACTAGTTATATTATTCAATAATATTATTGAATAATATTATAGACCCCCTATGTATAGGGCCTAGCAATGTTAGCAACTCTATTGCTCCACATAATTTTTGCATACAATTTAGCTTTAGTAAAATAATTCAACAAAAATTCACTAAATTCTTCACAATAGAATTGTTCAATTAAGGTACCGTAAAATGGGGTAACTTAGACCGGCGGGGTAACTTTGACCACTTTTTGTTTTTTTTTACAAAAACCCCCACAACTCAAAAACTATTTGACATAAAACAAGGAACAAAGTGTCAAGCTGTATTGCCAAGCTTTGACACCGCTCCAGCAGCTGTAATAACAAACAACGAAGTGTCAAGCTGTATTGCCAAGCTTTGACACCGTTCCAGCAGCTGTAATAACAAGGAACGAAGTGTCAAGCTGTATTGACAAGCAACAAAATAAAACTTAACAAACAAAATAAAACTTAATAAAACATTATAATATGTCACTAGATAAATTAATCTTCCATTTTACATTATTGTGCACACAATACTATCATTGATGTAACACAAGGTGCAATAATACAATAAATAAAATAGTATTTATTAGCCTATGATGTGATTACATTGCCTAACTTCCACATTTTAGGGTGAGCCGACATCACCTGAGCTTGTAATGTACAAATCTTCAACTATGATTCTCGGCCTATGAAAAAGTTCACTCTGGCAGACTGTTTGTCTTGATGTATTCAAAATAATATCATTGTCCAAGTGTGGAGCAGAGAGAATATAGTGGGCATTCTGCAATAATAGTGCCACAGTTGCAGCCATGCCAGCTATGGTGCAATATTGATTACAATTTACAACAAGAGAGATTCATAATAGATAAATTTTATAAGCATTGATGCAATATTTATATTTGTCAAAACTAAAAAAAAAAACACATAAAATTTACAATATTACAAGCCCCTTAACTAATTAATAGCATACCGTATTAGGATATATAAACAATAATTAAGGAACATTTTACAAACCTTTGTTATTTCATTGGAGAGAACCGCAAGCTGCATCTCCTCAGGATTATTATCTTCAAAAGATGGCATTCGTACCAAGTTGCTCTGAAACACGATGAACACAGCGCACTCACATAGATTTCATTGGCATGTAAATGCAAAAAAGGAATTTTACATTGGAATTTCAGTGTAATAATAAAACTTCATTCATGGTCAACAGGAATTTCATCATGAGCTGAATTGTGGTGTCATTGAATGCATTTTTAGTTTTCAAAAGCAACTTTCTTTATTATTCATATATTGGCTCAGAAATATTGCACATATCTAATAAGCAGGTATAAGGGAAAGGAATATCCCAAGACTATACAAATAACCTTATAGGTAGCCCCTTGTAGTCTATTTAGATGACATTATTTCAATAGCCAAAACTATATTTCTGCCAACTTAAAAGTCTTCTGCAGATCATTATGTACTATATAGAAAAAACATTGATGCAACAAAATCAAGATGAAAAGCTCCTCCCGCACTAACCTGGAGTGTGTGCAACTTCTTAGTTTTTGCTTCAAGTGTAGTTGTGTTGTAGCGGATCTCCTCAGCAATGCTGGTCCAGTCGGGCAAGCGAGCTGAGCCAATGCTCCCTCTTTCTCGCATCAAGGCTTCTCTGTCCCCATAACCTTGCTGCAAAATAATTAGCAATGTTACAAATCACTTACAAAATTTAATTGTACAAACTGGAATTGTGACATTGGGAAACCTTTTGCTTTAAATAAAAATTGACAAGACTTAAAATAGGTTTTTTTTAGTGATAACAGAGCACATCCAAGAACATTTTGGAGCAAGTGCCAGAGATATTAGATAATTAAAAAAATTGAATGTGAAACTAGTCAGACTAGTTTCACTAGTNCATCAATATAATTTTCCAAGACTCGTATATGAAAGATTTAGCATGACTGAAAGAGTAACCGTGCATATTCTACCATCTCCTACAGTTGATAAATAGCAAATGTGTAAATGCATAGAGCAGGCAGACACAGAGGAACACAAATGACTCGTATCTGAAAATCAAGCCCACACTGGTATTATTATGAATTCAAGTGTCAAATCACAAAAAAAATTGAGTAATGCACACAAGGTTGTACATGATAATGTCAATACAGTTCAGAACACGATTCAACACCACTGCCCTAACATTCAACTGGCAGCTATTTCATCAACTTTTTCTGCAATGTTCATTTCCAGAGTGTCTAGCTTTGTTTTCAAAGATTGCCTCATGGCGTTGAACTTTGTGATAATTTCAAATCCCCCTTTCTTTCCATTGCTTCTGCATATTCATCTGCTGCTTGCTCAAGCACCTTGATGCCCTCCTCCACATGCCTTTTCTTCTTCTTCAGTTCATCTAGCATTCTAACTCATCCAACAAAGCATTCCTCTCCTGGGTTTTCTGGGCCTTTGCATTCTGCTCTTTCTCTCCTGCCAAATAAGTATTGTCAGCTGTTTTGGCACTGCCAGCTGCAAGCAGCATCTTCTTGTTGATGGTCATCTTGTCCAGGCAACCAACATGTGCTACATGATCAACCACAGCATGCAGGGCAACCACCATTTGCTTTTTCATGTTGTGTGTCATGATTTCCTTGTTGAACAAAAACCCTCTTTCAACCATGGCTTGGCCATGAGACAGGAGCATGAGCATCTGCACTACATTCCAGAGCTTCTTGTAGGTGCTCTTTGACAGAATGGCATGCCAAAAAGTGTCCAGTCGATCAAAAGTAAAAAATGCTTGAAACTGTGCATTCAGTTCACTGCAATGTTGTGATTCATCTCTAAAGTTGCACATCTCATTGCACAACACTATACATATTGTGTTAGGGAATCTCTTGGCATCAACAAGCAAAGTGAGACAGTTCTTCAACTGTGTCTTGTCAGATTTCTTACAGTCCTTCTTGATGAAAAATTTTGGCACCAGCCATCTCAGGTTCAAGGCCATCTCAAGGCCATACCTGATAAGGCTCTTGTCCAGTAGCTTTTGGACTACAGCCTGCATGAAGTCCCGCACTTGTATTTTGAAAGTGAGAACTTGCAGTGCATTTGCCCTCTTGTCTGCAAGCTGTTTTTTTAACATGGTCCTGGCCATGTAAGGGTTGCCTGCCAAAGATCACCACTGCTCTGGGTGTAATGGACCATCATAGTTCCTGCCTTCCAGAACGTAGCTTTCAACACTTCTGGACAATCATATAGGCAGCCAAAAACAACCAGACAGAACGAATAAATTGAATTAGACCAATCAGCCCTCAGGAGAAACAGCCAGCAATTGAATGGCCTAGCATCGTCCGCTGTACCGCGAAAAAATTCTGCACCACTTGAACGTACCTAGCGCGCCAAAGCCTTGCAGGGCGTGTGATATCCACCACCAAGCCATCCGTATCTGGGCCGTGCATCAAACCAGCTCCTGGTCAAATGGCCACTGGTCGAAGGATGATAAATTTTGGAAGAGAACTACGCTATCTGAAACCCAACCACAGATGCGGTGAACTTAAAATTATGTAATTTAACGATGCCCGGAAGTCATATTCGATCCGCGGTCTGGTGGTGCATGGGAGGTTTTATGCAAGGCTGAAGGAGGACAAAGCTGAGTGGTCACAGGCTGTTGAGCGTAAGTTCCAGTTTGAGTGGTGGCCAGGGTATGAAGTGATGATTTGATGCAACGTTCAGTGGTGGACGGCCATTGGAAACCAGGCTATTTGACCTCGTGTCTGGGAGGTGTTCAAAATATTCAAAGCAAAGTTTGTTTCAGGGCTTATTGGTGCACAAAAATGGTGGTGCATGGCTGCACTCCCCCATGTAACCAACATAAACTTCATTGAGGGAAATCAAAATGCCTTTTATTTCATGACTTTTCATGACCTCATTTGAAATCCAATGACTTCCCAGGCCTGGAAAATGAAAAAATCAAATTCCATGACTTTCCAGGTTTTCCATGACCGGGGTACACACCCTGATAACCTTCAATTCCAAATTTTCTTCTCATACACTGAAACAAATCGGTGCATTAGTTGCAGACATCTCCACTAGCTAAACGCTCAATGTTGCAAAACGAATCACTCCGAAACTTCGTTTGCTGTTTTCTCAACAGTTCGTTCGCCATTTTCTCTAATTTTCGCTCAGCCACAGACAGCCACTGCTGCTATAGGCTGATGACATCAAGGCAGGACCAATAATGAAAGCCGAAAATTTACATGCAAGTTCGAATTTAGTAGTTAACAAAAATTGATAATAGCTTAAATCAACTTAATAATAGTGATAATATAACTAGTTGAATATGTCATGCAATAGTGATTAAACAGACGTACGACATTCACATGCTTTATAGTTTTCATCGTTGGTGTTTTGTTTCCTCGAATACAGAGGCGGTTTAGAAGTCATATTAGTTATGAAACATACCGCAGTTCGATTACAGTCTGTGTTACTGGTGAGCCAGGTAAAAGATCATTGACAGTTAATTCAAACTTATTCATTATTTCTAATAATGTATATGAAAAGTGTGACAAAAGATTAACCTGAAGCTTATATCATAGACATGATTTTAGCAAAATAAGTTACATAACAATTCTATTTTTACCTATCCCAAATAAAGTCAAGTATTAATTATTGGCGGTGCGAGGAATGCTTAAACACCAACACCTCGTACAACGTCGATCAATTTTTCATGCTACCAGTAATGCAACCCTGCGATAGCATGCGACCTGCAAGTTGTGATAGCAGATGATGGAGATTCTAAACATTCCACAAGTTTAATTATTCTTCTCAAAAGAACAACCGAAATAAATGATATCTAGAAAATATAGGAACATGAGTTCCCTTTCAGCCATGATGTAGAAAGTTAGGTTAAATGGCTTATTTTAATTTGCAATACATTCGCTCTACGTGTTCAAGTGGACTAAGGCTTCACGCGGTCTGCTGCAGCGAGCCCGGGTTCGAATCCTGCTTCGGTCGGCTATGGTTCTTCCAGCGGAGAATCGGAGGTAAGTGAAATTATAGGGTTGCAAATAATATGTCTATATATAATAATGCAGCTAATTGGAATAATATGCTCATATAATGTAACTGTCACGATAAAACAAGTATACCTAAATCTGGTCATATCTCAACATGAAGGGACACGTTCAGAGAGCTGCGTTGTGAAGAGCCATGTAGGAATTTCAATAAATAATTCATTTTATACAGCAATCGATGCCATGTATTTTCTTCGGAGTTGTTACCCCGTAATATCACGAAGGGCGCGTTAAAATCCTAGGCTATATATTGCATACAAATTATTACATTTGTATTGTTGAGTAATTAATTTGAATTTAAATTTATTTCAAACGCTAACAATTTTAGCATTTGAGACATAGCAATAGTGGACGCAATACTCATATTGTGGTATTCTAATAAAATGATGTACTTCCGGCAGTATTTCTCTCATCCTATGCGCTATTGCCGCCGCTATATTATATTTGGTGTTCTGCATCACAATACGGCATGCATAGAAGCGTCGGCGGTCAGTTCACTGAGGTTTTCTCTTTCTCACTGAGCGCTAAGAGTAGCTTTTAATTACGTGCTCCGGCTGGCTGAGGAGTGTTTTAGACGCCTTCGGCAACTCGTTTTGGGACAAGCCAGGATAGTCACTTTGGTGCGTAGTTTCTACGCACCGATTTGTTTCAGTGTAGCAGTGGCAATTATATTTATTCAAAGCTTGACCATTTTTGACTGAAAAATCACACTAATGGTAAATGTCATATTGATATGATATTACCATATACATTAATTACCATATTATTGATACGATATTACCATATCCATGAACATGCCATTGAGCATTTACAACAGCCTTGTCCACTGCAAGCTTCATATCAGCAGCCTTATAGCATTTTTTCTGCATCTGTAAGTTTACAGGACAGCTTGTAATTTCACACCATTTTAATTGGGTTAAGTGAATTTAATATAAAAAAAGATTGGGAAAAACATACCTGAAACAGAAAGGGATAATCATAGTTTAGGTCAATTACTTTTCATTCAATGATGCCTGGTGCACAATTCTATATATATGACATTCTATGCGCAATTTTGTGATGACCGATGATGCACTAATTTTTTGACGAGTGGAATTTTTTCGCTGAGCGAGGTTAATGTAATCAATATTCTTTGTTTTTAATCAATTTCTTTCTTAACTGGAGCATTTGCTAACTGAGGTTCTACTGTAAATGCATTTTTGGGGGTGTCCCAAATAGCCCCGGGGGGGGGTGTCCCAACTCCCAAGTAGCCCCGCCGTGCGGATAAGAGAAATTTTTTAATACGGCAAATATTTTTTTACTACAGACCTTAGCAGAAGTAACTTTCCAAAATATGATTTTTCACCATTTTTTCAGGAATTTTTCAAAGCTAGTAAATGTAGTATTTTTGAACTTCCTTTATACTACATAGATAGGAAAAATGTTGACGTTTACGCCACTATATTTAGTTTTGCAATATTCCAATTAGTTTTGCTACTAAAACAGTTTTACGCCGTGTTTGGCTTCCCAAGTTACCCCGCCCGTCTCGAATAGCCCCGGTTGACAGTATACTGTATATAAAGGTTTACTTTACACCTACTAAGGTTCTACCTACTTAGCACTTATCAAATGGAATGACAATCACAGTAA